ACAAAGGTACATTTTAAAGTCATGTTTAAGTTTAGAAAACATGACTTACAATTGTCTTTGGATTTAATAGTTGTTTAATTTTACTTAAATGACACTAACATCTGGCCTTTTTACCCAGTGCGTGGCAGGAGCGTCTGACGAAGGTTCAAAACTTGTAACGAATCACCTTTTGGTGAGCAAAGCCTTAAAATTCACCCGTTCGATAAGCGCTCGACTAAGATAGTCGGCAACATCTCCGATAAAATGCAAAATTTAGGCGTAAACGTATTCAGCTTTTTGTTTGTTTCAATTTATCTCTTTTTGGTACCACGTTCGATTAATTATGTATTTATTATTTCATTTGCGAGTTTAAGAACACTTTACGAACCTTCTAGTGAAACCCAAATATTGACAATGGTTTACAACAACACTCTTATTGCGAAAGAAATGTTTAAGTTATCTTTTTTTTTATCAGCAATGCGGTTTTCCACTAGGGATATCACAAGGTTAGGGCGATTATTTCAAACATGTAGCTTTAAAACAGCTAAAACCGGTTTCAATCGGTTTTGCCCTTGTTATCAAAAATGATTTTTTTACTTCCTCCGAATTTTAAACGCTAAACGTTTTTGGAAAAGTAACATTTTTGAATATGCAATCTATTGGACTGTTGGGGTAAACAAGCTTAAACCACAGGCGCAAACAGGAGGCACCGGGCGTCTGATTAGGAATAGTTTATTTTACTCTCGGAATCTCTGTCCCTTTCTTCTCTAAAATTCAGCCCCACAGTACACGCTCTTAAATACCTTATCGGCTGGCATGTTTGGGCTTGCGGGACAACCGTGGTAGAGTACACATATTTTTAGAACGTTAACCAAAGCCACCTCAAGACATTCCGAACGCACAACAAAGTACTTGAAAAAAAACAACCGATCTTCAAGGTGATAAAAGTGATAAATTTTCAGCTCGTTTTCCATATACTAGTATAGTCCCTCTTGTCATGTAAATGGCTCAAAGAAAAACTCTGAACTCTAAATCAAAAGCGCTCTCTGGCCTTTATTTTTGGGTGAAGGACTTTTGATTTACTCGTTAATTGTCTTATTACCGTTTAGATCTTTTTTACGAAATTTCATTTTCAAAAGTTCTATTGAAATTAAAAAGCCAATACAGATTTCAATTTGTTTAAATGAAACCTTTTTTCAATGTGCCATCGCCAGCAGTTTTTCTTCTCAGAAATTTGATTTCTTCCTTGGCTTAAGACCTGAAATTCAGTTTGTGTTTAGTAATTCAGCAAAGCTTCTGCACAGGTAATTGATATCAGTGTTTTTATGAATGGGTTTTTTCCAAACTTCTTATTGTGTAAGTAGTCGAGTTAAAAAAAAATTCCTTGTTGAGAAGATACACATTTTCGATGTTTTTCCCGAGCTTCTTGTCGTCTGCTGACCGACATGACGGAAGCCCGTAAA